TGCCCCCGCCCCAGGCAGCGGGGGGAGAGGAAAAGCCACGGCCAGCACATCACTCGCCCGTGCCACTTCTCGCCGCCCCCCATTGGCCCGGGACGGCGAACCGCGGCCAGTGGGGGCCGCGATCGGCCGAACCTGCCGCGTCAGCAGGTAAATAAAACTGGCCCGGCCCGCCAGGGTGCTTACCCTGGCGAGCCGCGTGCTGAACGTTGCCGACCCCTGCTGTGAACTCTGCTGCATTCTGTAAAACATATCTTGTTTTAGTGGGTCAGTAATGTTGATTATACCTACATAGGGAAAAGAACAACATAATTAAATGTTTGATCTTTAGCAACAGTGCCATCTTGCTTCTGATTAGCAGAAAATGTAGCTTTCATTTTACAGCATGACTGCTGTGGTTACGCTATTTAAGATATCCTTGTTTTTCTGATCAATTTTATAAGTGATTGGGGAGTGGGGGGGAGTGTAAAGATATATTTTTATGTGGCAAATATTAATCCAGCGTTATGGGTAGACTTAAAATCAATTTACCATACTGATATATTAATAAAGACAGACATGTTCATGAGTAATTTGCAGATGACAAGATGGCTCTTGTTTATGTAAGAATTGTTAACTATATTTGGTCACACAATTATTTTTATTAATCTTAGATTTTTTTCCCAAATATAGATTTATCTCTTGCTAAAAGAGTCACTCCAAAAGCAGTGTTGAACAGTACTGTCTGAGAATTAGGAGGGAAAGTCTACACTTTCTATTCTAAAGATGATCAGTTTTCTTTTACTGTGAAGTCTTGGGCGTTTGTAGCACCACCCCCCAATCCTTCTCAGCCAATAATGTTTGTAATAGAAGTTTCCCCTCCCGAATCCAGGTTTTAATGTAAGAACATAATACATGGGGTGGTTTCATGAGCTGTCTCTACTTTTCCTCCCATTTATCTTTTCCTGCTTCTTTCTTGTATCTCATACAGCTGTGTCTTTACTTGGAAAGTGTATTGTGTTCATAGATTTTTAGGCCAGAAGGAATCATTATGATAATCTAAGATGACCTCCTGTGTAATACAAGCTATACAATTCACCCAGTAGCATAACCAGGGCCATATAATTTCACCCCCTCACATTATTGGGATGTTACAGTGCTAACCATCACTCATTAGTCAGTGTGGTGTGAACTAGCTGTGGTTAAATGCTGCTGGACTTAGTTTAGTTTACACAGTGCTGACCATGACTTGTTCTTGTCTATGCTGACCAGCAAGTGATATTTATGTTCCTAGTATCTGTGATACTGATATGTGATATCTGTGCTTTGCTGCCCTGTTTGGCCTGCATGCAAGAGCCATAAGATGATATTTTGAACCTAATACAGAGTAACAATAAAAGGGTTTTGCTAATCCTATGCAAGCCAAGGTTCCTGCCCCAAGAACCTTGCAGTAGAAGTACAGATAAAGGAGATGAGGAGGAACATATTGTGACACTGTATGGAATTTGGGGGACACTTTAGGACATTATGAATACCAATATTGTAAAATTGTAATGAGTTATGCCAGATAGGCCATGTAAGGTATCTGCAAAAATGTTATAATTTACCAAGGACGATAATCTTGTTTATATGTTTGTATCACCTTTGTATTATGGGTTATAGATATGTATGTATGTCTGTATTTCAAAACTTGTGCTATACTTCTGGGTGACACCCCCAGACAGTTTGGCATCAGCACTGCCTAGCCTGCTTGATGGCCCATTAAGGACCATCAACTATACAATTGACCCATTCAGAGAACGCAAGGCCTTATAACTCAGCAAGGCATGCAGGGGCATGCTTATGGACAGAACTCTAAGGTTTCCAGGCTATGTGCTGGGCAGCTTGTGTTTTGAGACAAAGGTAGCACAAGCTGCATGGCAAAAGACTATAAAACGCAGCTGCATCTTCTCCATTTTGTCTTCATTCCTGCTTCTTACCTCTGGAATAACCTTTCTGCAAACAAAGCTCTGAACAAAGGGCTGAATGACCCATCCAAGCTGTGGATGTGTTCTAATCTAGAGGGACTTTCAAGCCAGCAAACTCACCAATACTGCTAGAAACCTGATATATGGACTTCGAAATCTTTGTATGTATGTGATTGTTTTACCATTTAAAATCTCTTCTCTTGTTCTTCCTTTTTTCTTTATAATAAACCTTTAGTTTTAAACACTAAGGGATTGGCTGGCAGGGTGGTATTCTGTATAAGATCCAAACCTATACTGACATGGTGATATGGCTGACCCTTTGGGGTCAGAAGAACATTTTGTATATGTGAGCAGAGTTTTTTAAATAACATGTCACTGAACTGGACCTAGGTGCTGATTGGGAGCCAGAGAACTGGAATGCAATCAAGGGTGCTGTGTGATTTCTTTTTTTTTGCTTCTTGATAACCAGTTTGGGGGATCTGAAGCAGTTTGTGACTTATTGGGGAGCTTAACTTCAGTGTTACCCACCAGTATTGGGAGTATCTGCTCTCCCTTTTGCAGCCTGCCCTGATGTTAGCATTTCCAGTGAGGGCTGCCCCAGGCCCACGGGGTCACACATATGTAAAAAGAATGTGTTTTACATGATTAGGTTTGGTACATATCTTGTAGGTCCAGATTGTTGTGTGTATGTTTGTTGCAATTTTATGAGTATATATCTTTGAAATTTCTATTGTGGGCAAAACTAGATCTATCTTAGGTACTTATATGGCCCATGATACCATAGTATCTGAACACCTCCCAATCTTTAATGTATTTATCGTCAGGTGTGAAAGTGCTTTTGTCCCCATTTTACAGATGAGGAACTGAGACACAGAGACTAGGTGACTTGCTTGTGGTCACACAGGAAATCTGTGGTGGAGCAGAGAATTGAACCCTGGTCTCCTAAATACCAGCCTAACCACTGGGCAATCCTTTCTCTCTGGTTGGTAATAGAAGACTAGCCAAAATAACTGAATTTCTAGATGGTTTGGACCCTGGGAGAATGGAGACTGTTCAAGTGTAGTGTCAGTGTGGGAATGGGGGATGTTTAGAGGTGAAATTGATGTTGATGGTGATGAAGAAAAAGTGTTTGGTGAGGTGGAAAAAGTTGATAAAGCAAAATGCACTAATGGGAAGTGCAGTAGAAAATGAGAACACATAGCAGCAGAGGTAGAATGTACTGCATCTTATTAGAAGGATTGGTGAGGGGAAAGATGGGAAAAAAGGAAGGAGATCTGAGAAGAGGAAACTGCATTATGCACATCCTTGTTATCTCTTGCCTGAGCAAGACTTTTGGCTATGGAGATAGAGAAAGGAAGGGGCACATTTTGTGTGTGTTGTAGATGAAGAAGTGACTGCATTTTGCACAAATTTGTATTTGAAACTAGGAGGACAGAAAGAGTATTGGAAAATTATCCCAAGATTGTGAACCTGCAAAGTTCAGGGAGCTGTGCCTGCCCAAAATATTGATGGCACAGTATGAATAGTCAAGTAAGTATTCATCTATGGCTGGAATTCACTAGAATTTTTATGACATATTTTCTTAACTACAGGCTAAATCAGAATTGTAGGCATTGAGCCTTCTTTGTATTCATTTACAGACTTTAATTTTTGCTATAATAGGTGGTTTTTAATTTAGGTGCGATTACAGTAAAAATGTGGATTCCAGCTGCTGCAAGCTGAAATTTTACAAGTCTTTGAAGTTTAATGTTTGTGTGCACTCAATTTTGCTTATTTGTCATATAGAATAGACTCATAATTAAAACTTCGGGTGTTCTTTGTAAAAGGCAGAGATGCTTTAATAAAGGCCTTGCTATACATAAGAGAGGATGTTTGCAAGAGAATGTAACTGAACTAATCTAAGGTCATATTATTCCATGTAATACTTCATGCAATACAGGCTTTTGTAATGCACAGATAAGGAAATCACCTAATCCTGTGCATAACTCTGAGCACATGCTTAAAATCCTTTTGAAGTCAATGGGATTTAAGTAAAAATCTAAGTACTTTCCAGAATAGGTATTAACATATGTGACAAAGTTCCTCCTCTGTCTTGGTGGGTCCTGCGCTTATTGGCGGATTTTCTTGCCTCCGAGATTCACCATGTGGGTTGGAGAACAGCCCAGAGACCTTCCCCTCTCGAAGGGCCCACAGTCCAGGTCAATTGGGAGGTTTGGGGGGAACCCAAGCCCACCCTCTACTCCGGGTTCCAGCCCAGGGCCCTGTGGTGTCTATAGTGCCTCCTGTAACAACTGCATGACAGCTACAACTCCCTGGGCTACTTCCCCATGGCCTCCTCCAAACACCTTCCTTAGGCTTGGTCTACACTACCCCCCTAATTCGAACTAAGGTACGCAACTTCAGCTACGTGAATA